TTATTATCATACAAATCCATACATCAAGTAAATGGAGAAAATGCTTGTCATACAATTTTCATACATTTTCGAAAAACAATAGAAAAAAAGTTAAACCATTTCTGCGGTTTTTTGACAACAGTTGAACAGACTGGTGAAAAAAAAAACTGATTTAAAATATTTTTTTTTGCAAAAAATGATTTCCATAGAATTTCCATATATGGAAATTTAATTACTGGCATTTTTTTAGGGCGACGTAAAAGTAATTTTGAAAATTTGCCCTAAAATTATTTTTGTTTTTTTTTCAACCGCAAGTCGACTTTTGTACGCAAACAAACATTTTCCGAAAATTTTTTTGCATGGGAAGTTTAATTTTTTGTGTGCATAACGTAGTCCTGGATACGCTAATATTGGCTTTTTTTTCTTTTCGCTTAAAATTTTTTTTTTCAAAAACGCTGAAAATTCCTATTTCTTTTGTATGGCGTGCTTATGTACGCCTTGATCAATGTCTGATAATTTGAAAAAAAAATTTAAAATAATCTTCACTGAAAAATTTTGTCAAAAATTAAGGTTTGTTACTTTTGTTATATCATTTGTGAAAGACATCAGGAACACAATTCAGGTCGTTTTTCATGCATAGTAAATGTAAGACCGTCCAACTTTTGGTGCTTTGAGTAACCAAGGTCTTTGTCACTTATGTTCGGTTGCAAACACAACCCAAATTTTTTCAGAAAATGAATTACGAACAAAAAACAACTTTTTGGTTTTTGGAGAAAATATCTATCATTCTCACAGCTTTTTCATACAGTTTTCTGTACGTATGGAACTGTATGAAATTGTTTGAAAAGAAATTTCCCATTTATGAGAATTGTATGGTAAGCATTTTTGGTCAACCCGGGAGGACGCTCCTTTTGTTCTTTTTTTGTTATTTCAACCTCTTCGATCGTTCCGACAAATTTTTAATATGTTTAAAGACATGTCTGTGGAATCCAGGAACATACAGACACAAAACTGTGCAACTATCCAGTGCCCAATTTGGCCTCGTAATGTGATTAATTTAGATTTCAATGACCTGTTTGTTTTGGACACTGCTAAATACAGTATCGTAAGAAGTCTTCGAAGATCTTAGAGATTTTACCAAGAATTCGAGAGCCTTATGCTGAATGCTTTGGTCAGACTTTTCTTCCCAATTTTCAGCAACTGTTCACCTTCGATAACTACTCAGTCTCATAGCAGCAGACACCAAAAAAAATTTTGAATTGTTTTTTAAAATGTTAGCAATAAAGGCATAAAGCAAAAAGACATTATTAAAACATAAGGCAGTAAAGCTTAGGTCGAAACATGAATCGCAAATCTCGACCCGGGCACTGTTTAGACACTGTTTTTTAGACACTGTTTTTATCTAAATCTTCTCAACCTATCAACGTTTTAACATACCTCCTTTTTTCAGAAACATTTTTCTTGTTCACTCAGTTTTCTCATTACCAAGAATTCGAGAGCCTTATGCTGAATGCTTTGGTCAGACTTTTCTTCCCAATTTTCAGCAACTGTTCACCTTCGATAACTACTCAGTCTCATAGCAGCAGACACCAAAAAAAATTTTGAATTGTTTTTTAAAATGTTAGCAATAAAGGCATAAAGCAAAAAGACATTATTAAAACATAAGGCAGTAAAGCTTAGGTCGAAACATGAATCGCAAATCTCGACCCGGGCACTGTTTAGACACTGTTTTTTAGACACTGTTTTTATCTAAATCTTCTCAACCTATCAACGTTTTAACATACCTCCTTTTTTCAGAAACATTTTTCTTGTTCACTCAGTTTTCTCATGAGAAACTTTCCGATAATTTCTGTGAAACTATTAAGAGGCTAAACTTTGTATTTTTTGAATGGCAAGCAAAACACTCTATAATGACGCTCTCTCCTGGGTTGACCATCCAATAAAATCCCATATCTTAGCATTTTTTATCAGGTTTGTAGGCAATTCCCGATTTTGGAAAACTTTCCAATTTCTTATCAGAAAAAATTAAAGATAGCAATTTTTTCACAACCCAAAAAATGCCAAAATCACTTTGATTATGTTTTTGTACCGCAATAACAGATAAAAATTGTGTTTGGACAATTTTTTTTTTAAAGTTGTCTGCATGTAAAAGTTTTCAGCGATTATAATAAATGCAAAAAGGCAAAAAAAAATCCGAAACAAAAAATTCGATTGTTGTTTTCAACAAAATTTCTAGATGTACGTAATTAACGGTTGAAAAAAAAATTTTTTGAATCATGTCATATAGCTTTGGACGTGTTCTATGTGGGGTTAAGGTATAAATTGACAACTTTCTATAAATCAGCAAAAAATCAACATCTTTTGGGCTACAAGTTTCACGTAGTGTACTCTGTCCTAGCGGAGAACTTTGAAGCTGGTTGTCAAAAAAAAATTTTCAAAAAAAAATAACACAAAAATTTCGAAAGTTTCTTTCAAAATATACACTTTCCTACAACTTTTTTATAAAAAAGTCCCTATCTTGTATCATTCATTGGGCATAATTTTGTAAGAAATTGCAAGATACTTATAAGAAAGTTTAGGAGATACCGACTTTTTTTTCAACCTTGGCTATGTCCTTTTTTGTTTTGTGTTTTTTTTTTGTCATTCCGACAAAATGTTGACAGTTTTTGAGAGTTGTTTCTGGGTTACACAAACCTATACACACCAAATTGCGCACCTATTTAGTGCACAACTTGTCCTCACAATGAATGTATTTACTTTTAATCCGTTAAGTCAATAAATAGTTATCCGACTAATGTTGCTCAGCTTATGGTCAATACTCTGTGTCAATGTTTCTCATTAACAAATTTCAAACATCTTGTGGATTTGTTCTATGAGTATCTGATAAACTATGTAAAAGTTCATAGCTAACAGACAATTGGGAAAGAGTCAATAAACGCACTCAAAAAAAATTTTTTTCGAAGATATTTCAACTTTCCAAGTTCAAAAAAATAGATGCCTTTAAAACTCGTTTCTAGAAGACTTTAATATGGGCACTTTTTAACAAAATTAAACCAAATCGAGAAAAACAGATAAGTAGATAATTTGTCGGTTTGGCTGAGAAATATGAAAAAAAATTCCGTTTTCGAAACTACAAGTCAAGTTTGACCTTTTAAGTTTTGCTGTTGATTGTGGAGTATGCCTTCCTTTTAATAAAAAAAATGAATTGAACTGAAAACGAAATCAACAATCAAACCGCAAAGAACTAATTTTGAGCCTAACTAAACTTTAAAATTTCAAATTTTTCCTGAAAATAAAACGAAAACAAAAAATTAATCGCGACTTGTATAAGTGTCACTCATACAGTTTTCCGACTTATTCTTCCGAGTTTCGAAGAAAAGTAACGAAATATTTGAACTTGTGGTGATTTTTTTTTGTTTTTTTTTGTTCCAGGATATTGTCAACTATTGGACTATCCGTTTTTGACGGGATATTTATTCCAACTTCCGATGAATGAAACTGACAAAAAAATTGTGCTCGGAAGGTTTTTTTTTCTCTAGACCAACTTCGACTTTTTAACAAGCCCTTTTTTTCAATAGAAGCAGTCTCGTTCTATCAATGTTTGAACAGATTAGCAGTTTGTTCCGCTTTTTTCTACTAAGTTTTCAGTACGAGGCCAAACTATGCATTCTGTGAAGTGTAAGCGGATTCCGCATTAAGCCCGGGTTGACCTCCATACACCGAAAATGCTTATCATACAACTCCATACAACAAAAATTATTATCATACAAATCCATACATCAAGTAAATGGAGAAAATGCTTGTCATACAATTTTCATACATTTTCGAAAAACAATAGAAAAAAAGTTAAACCATTTCTGCGGTTTTTTGACAACAGTTGAACAGACTGGTGAAAAAAGAAAACTGATTTAAAATAATTTTTTTTGCAAAAAATGATTTCCATAGAATTTCCATATATGGAAATTTAATTACTGGCATTTTTTTAGGGCGACGTAAAAGTAATTTTGAAAATTTGCCCTAAAATTATTTTTGTTTTTTTTTCAACCGCAAGTCGACTTTTGTACGCAAACAAACATTTTCCGAAAATTTTTTTTGCATGGGAAGTTTAATTTTTTGTGTGCATAACGTAGTCCTGGATACGCTAATATTGACTTTTTTTTCTTTTCGCTTAAAATTTTTTTTTCAAAAACGCTGAAAATTCCTATTTCTTTTGTATGGCGTGCTTATGTACGCCTTGATCAATGTCTGATAATTTGAAAATTAAAAAATTTAAACAAATCATCACTGAAAAATTTTGCCAAAAATTTAAGTTTGTTACTTTTGTTATATCATTTGTGAAAGACATCAGGAACACAATTCAGGTCGTTTCTTATTCATAGTAAATGTAAGACCGTCCAACTTTTGGTGCTTTGAGTAACCAAGGTCTTTGTCACTTATGTTCGGTTGCAAACACAACCCAAATTTTTTCAGAAAATGAATTTACGAACAAAAAACAACTTTTTTGTTTATGGAGAAAATACCTATCATTCTCACAGCTTTTTCATACAGTTTTCTGTACGTATGGAACTGTATGAAATTGTTTGAAAAGAAATTTCCCATTTATGAGAATTGTATGGTAAGCATTTTTGGTCAACCCGGGAGGACGCTCCCTTTGTTCTTTTTTTGTTATTTCAACCTCTTTGATCGTTCCGACAAATTTTTCATATGTTTAAAGACATGTCTGTGGATTCCAGGAACATACAGACACAAAACTTTGCGACTATCCAGTGCACAATTTGGCCTCGTAATGTAATTAATTTAGATTTCATTGACCTGTTTGTTTTGGACACTGCTAAATACAGTATCGTAAGAAGTCTTCGAAGATCTTAGAGATTTTACCAAGAATTCGAGAGCCTTATGCTGAATGCTTTAGTCAGACTTTTCTTCCCAATTTTCAGCACCTGTTCACCTTCGATAACTACTCATTCTCATAGCAGACATCAAAAAAAAAACTTTGAATTGTTTTGAAAAATGTTAGCAAAAAAGGCATAAAGCAAAAAGGCATTATTAAAACATAAGGCAGTAAAGCTTAGGTCGAAACATGAATCGCAAATCTCGACCCGGGCAGGCCAACAGGCAGGCAAAAATTTGTTCTCCTGACTTGAATGACTATGATTGTGTTTGTGAAACCACGAGCTTAAACGAAGTTCAAATAGGTTAGATTTTTGCAAAAAACTATGAAAAGGACGTTTCACGAAGTTACAAAAATTAATTACTATGTTGTTTGTATAAAAATTTACTTTGAACTTAACCACTGATTCTATTGGTTTCTGAAGTTCAAAGTGTGTCCGACCGCAAAGTTGTTGTGAAATTCAATTCTGCTGCCACAGTTCTGATCCTTTTTTTGAGCAGACGAATGTTATTCAGATTAAAATTGTCCTGGATTTCATCTCCATGTTTCAGGCAACAACTTTCAAGATTGCTCTTTTCACACTTTAATGTCCTGTAATGATTCAGATAAATTCCGCTTTCGTTAGCAATTTGAAGATCCAATGGTTTATTTATGGAGTCGAAAGAATATTGAGCTTTGAAATGTTCTTTTTCCGATATCGGAAGGTAACTATCACAGCCGTGCAGATGCAAAAATACACATACATCTGTGTTGATGATTTGTTTTCCGGGATGATAAGCTAAAAAGAAAAAACAACGACAATCATTTAAAAGCTTCATAGAAACTTCTTGGTCTTCAAAATGAAATATAGTTTTATCGATTACTTGGATATTTTATCATGGGTTTTTGCGACGGTGCTTGTCGCCCAATCAACCACTGGCGGTTAAAAAACAAAATTTTGATGCTAGGAATTAACTGATGAAAAAACAAGCCCGCAAAAATATTCCATGTAAAAAATCAATTACAATAGACTTTTATGGTCTGTTTTCATAAAACTCGAAACTAATCGATGATAATGGATTCATTCTCAATTAAAGACCCAACAAAAAAGTAATCATTTTCATCCTTTATAATCGATGATGATGGATTTGCAATAGAATATATTAGATTATAAAGGAATATAACAGATTATAACTTTTTAAGCAAGAGCCTGGATTTTTCGAAACATTCGATATATTCAAAACCAAAGCGTTCTAAACTCTTTAAATTGAATTTTACAATTGACTGCAGCAAAAAATTGCGTTTGTTTTGAAGTCTACTGTCTTTTTTCTGCTGCTTGTCCTCTAACCCCATTTAAAACTTGGCAAAATTGGATTTCTTACGTTTTTTTTATATTTTTTTGTTAGTTCTACTTTATTCTTCTGTAATGAGAAGCCAAAAGTAATGGGAGCAAAAAAAAAACGTTTATAATTCAGTATATAAGACTGAACAATAACTTACCCTTAGCATATGCATATCTGGCATTGAGAATAGCAAAATGTTCATCGACGGTCCCGTTTTGCCAGGAGGTGTCCAGCTTCAAATGTTTTGTACACACTGAGGACACAATCATTATTCTGTCTCTCATTTGGAAACTTTTCTGAGCTCCTGCTTTTAACAACACTTTGAAGATAATTTATGAAATTAAGTTGGTTGGCAACTAAAATAAATTAAGTTCAACTACGAGACGGAGCACTAATGCATACACGGGGTGTAGCGACCTGCATGCGTGCCGCTTGGCAAGCGCAATTAAACCAATGACACTGTCTGTTGCGGCATGCATCAGTATGATTTTTAGTCGCAATGTGAACACACTTCTAATTGCACTAATACCCGCATGCTAAGCGATACACATGCTAGTAGGCCGATTACCATGTTAACAAGGATAGCCGAATGCAATCCAAGAAGCACAGAATTTCTGACGACAACATTCATAAAGAACTACAAAAAAAGCTTTGTGCGTGCTGTGATGAGAGCACTATATAAACGATTGAAAAAACTGATGACTTAGGCAAATTGAGGACAGTAGCTGTCTTAAAAAATCCGAACAACAAACAAAAAATACATCTGAAACTTGTAAAAGTTTTGCAAAATAACTTTTTTGCAATGTCGATACTGAAAGTAGTGAAAGTTCTGGACTTTCAAAAAACGGCCTTGAGTCGCATTAAAAGAGCTTCCCTCATTAAAAAATACAGTCTGGTTTGTGGGGAGATGATACGAATGGACTAAAAGTCCTGTCGAGGATAGTCCATTTATATCATCTCCTCACATTCCAGACTGTATTTTTTAATGAGGGAAGCTCTTTTATTGCGAATCAAAGCCAATTTTTTGCGTCTAAAACTTTCACCACTAAGTTTTCATTATCGAAAATTCAAAAAAAAATTATCTTGCAAAAAAAGTTTTTTTCTTAATTTCAGATTTTTTCCCCCATTTATTCCTTGTTATTGATTTTTTAAGACAGCTCCTGTCCGCATGTATGCCTATTTCATCATTTTTCTAAGCGTTTATCTAGTTCTCTCATCACACCAGGCACACAGACTTTTTGTAATTTTTCAAGAATATTGTCGCCGGGACATTCAGTACTTCTTGGAAAGCGTTCGGCTATCCTTGTGTAACACGGAGATTGGCCTACTAGCGTGCGTACTGCTTAGCATGATAACATTAGCGCAAAAAGAAGTGACTTTGTTTTGCGACTGAAACTCCTGCTAATATGCATGAATTGAAAGTGTTTTAGGATATTCTTGGTTTGAAAAGTTGGAAAGAGCAAAAAAAAAGTTTGTATTTGAACGAAATCTGCAAATGGTTATAAATATATAAATACCGCTGTTCATAAACACGTTTTTTCTGATATGAAAAAAACTGCTCAAAAAATTAATTCGTCTGTCTAATATTTTTTTAAAAAGGCACACATGTCAAGCAATTCGCTAGAACGGAAAAAAACCTCATCCACTAATCAATTTCATCGGTTAAAATACTTAAAGAAAACCGCAGATTTGTTTATTTCTAGAGCAGAAAACTGAAGAAGACTGCTCGTATCAGGGCGAAGCCTTGAATGTTCCGACTGCCTATTTAGGTTTATGGAGCAGTAATAACATTAAAAAATAAAAAATAAAAAAACAAAAGGAAATTTATTTTTCTTCTAAAATTTGAAATTTTTGTTGAAAATCATCTCCCCACACAAATCATTTTGAAAAACCTTTAAACCCCCATAACTTTACAAAAATGATCACAGGTGAAATATTTTTTCAAATTGGAGCTCCGGACAACAATACCTTTCGAGTGATATAAAAAAAATTCCGTCAAAAATGGTTAGTTAAAAAGTCGAAATTTGTCTGAAAAAAAAACCCACTCCGAGCACAAATGTTTCGTTACTTTCGTATCGAAGGTCGGAACAAAAAAAGTTGTCAACAGAGAGCTAAAACATAGCTAGCTGAAAAAAAAAAGTTGAGAGGGATTATTTTGAGCCATTCCGACTCAAGAGTTTAAAATAAAACGCTAAATCAACCTCAAGCTATTTCAAACTTCGGATTAATCGAATACTGATAATTTTGGAAAAAATAGCCCAAGAAATAACCATTGGATCCAAATATATACTTCTTTCCCGATGTAGGTCTGTGAATGTTCAATTTTGAAAATAAACATCAATTGTTAATTTTGACTTTTGACTCACTTCAACCCATCTCCACTTGTTATGAAATCTCGCAATGAAGTGCAATTATCATAATAATGAACCATAATCTTATCGGGATATCCTGCTTCACAATGTAGCTATAGTTAAATATGTGACTAATCAAGATTGTGAAAAGCAATTTGAAGATGGCAACAAAATGGCAACAAAAAAGTTTGAAAAAGGCAACAAATTTTCAAAACCAAAGCGTTCTAAGCTCTTAAAATTAAATTTTACATTTGGCTGCAGCAAAAAAATTGCGTTTGTTTTGAACCCTACTGTCTTTTTTCTGCTGCTTGTCCTCTAACCCCATTTAAAACTTGGCAAAAACGGATTTCTTACACTTTTTTTTTTCTTGTTAGTTCTACTTTATTCCTCTGAAATGAGCAACCAAATGAAAAAACTAGCGTGCGTACCGCTTAGCATGCGAACATAAGCGCAAAAAGAAGTGAGTTTGTTTTGCGACCGAAACTCATGCTCATATGCATGAATTAAAAGCGTTTTAAGATATTCTTGGTTTAAAATTTTGGAAAGAGCCAAAAAAAAATTGTATTTGAACGAAATCTGCAAATGGTTATAAATACCGCTGTTCATAAACACGTTTTTCTGATATGAAAAAAAAAACTGCTCAAAAAAAAACTCGTCTGTCTAAAACTTTTTTAAAAAGGCACACATGTCAAGCAACTCGCTAGAACGGAAAAAACCTCATCCACTAATCAATTTCATCGGTTAAAATTTTTAAAGGAAACCGCAGATTTGTTTATTTCTAGAGCAGAAAACTGAAGAAGACTGCTCGTATCAGGGTGAAGCTTTGAATGTTCCGACTGCCTATTTAGGTTTATCGAGCAGTATTAACATTAAAAAAAATAGTAAAACAAAAGGAAATTTTTTTTCTAAAATTTGAAAGTTTTTATGAAAATCATCTCCCCACACAAATCATTTATGGCAAATAAGCTTCGTTGAACCAATTTGGAACGATTTCTAAGACGGATTAAATCTCGCTTACGCGTTAATAGCGCGAAACATATCGCGCGTTAATTGTCCCAAATTGGCAAAAATGTTAACCTTTAAACCCCCATAACTTTACAAAAATGATCACAGGTGAAATATTTTTTCAAATTGGAGCTCCGGACAACAATACCTTTCAAGTGATATAAAAAAAATTCCGTCAAAAATGGTTAGTTAAAAAGTCGAAATTTGTCTGAAAAAAAACCCACTCCGAGCACAAATGTTTCGTTACTTTCGTATCGAAGGTCGGAACAAAAAAAGTTGTCAACAGAGAGCTAAAACATAGCTAGCTGAAAAAAAAAGTTGAGAGGGATTATTTTGAGCAATTCCGACTCAAGAGTTTAAAATAAAACGCTAAATCACCCTCAAGCTATTTCAAATTTCGGATTAATTGAATACTGATAATTTTGGAAAAAATAGCCCAAGAAATAACCATTGGATCCAAATATATACTTCTTTCCCGATGTAAGTCTCTGAATGTTCAATTTTGAAAATAAACATCAATTAATATTTTTGACTTTTGACTCACTTCAACCCATCTCCACTTGTTATGAAATCCGGCAATGAAGTGCAATTATCATAATAATGAATCATAATCCTATCGGGATATCCTGCGTCACAATGTAGCTATAGTTAAATATGTGACTAATCAAGATTGTGAAAAGCAAGTTGAAGATGGCAACAAAATGGCAACAAAAAAATTTGAAAAAGACAACAAATTTTCAAAACCAAAGCGTTCTAAGCTCTTAAAATTAAATTTTACATTTGTCTGCAGCAAAAAATTGCGTTTGTTTTGAACCCTACTGTCTTTTTTCTGCTGCTTGTCCTCTAACCCCATTTAAAACTTGGCAAAAATGGATTTCTTACACTCTTTACTTTTTCTTGTTAGTTCTACTTTATTCCTCTGAAATGAGCAACCAAATGAAAAAACTAGCGTGCGTACCGCTTAGCATGCGAACATAAGCGCAAAAAGAAGTGAGTTTGTTTTGCGACTGAAACTCATGCTCATATGCATGAATTAAAAGTGTTTTAAGATATTCTTGGTTTAATATTTTGGAAAGAGCCAAAAAAAATTTGTATTTGAACGAAATCTGCAAATGGTTATAAATACCGCTGTTCATAAACACGTTTTTCTGATATGAAAAAAATACTGCTCAAAAAAAAATTCGTCTGTCTAAAATTTTTTTTAAAAGGAACACATGTCAAGCAACTCGCTAGAACGGAAAAAACCTCATCCACTAATCAATTTCATCGGTTAAAATATTTAAAGGAAACCGCAGATTTGTTTATTTCTAGAGCAGAAAACTGAAGAAGACTGCTCGTATCAGGGCGAAGCCTTGAATGTTCCGACTGCCTATTTAGGTTTATCGAGCAGTATTAACATTAAAAAAAAATAGTAAAACAAAAGGAAATTTTTTTTTCTAAAATTTGAAAGTTTTTATGAAAATCATCTCCCCACACAAATCATTTATGGCAAATAAGCTTCGTTGAACCAATTTGGAACGATTTCTAAGACGGATTAAATCTCGCTTACGCGTTAATAGCGCGAAACATATCGCGCGTTAATTGTCCCAAATTGGCAAAAATGGTAACCTTTAAACCCCCATAACTTTACAAAAATGATCACAGGTGAAATATTTTTTCAAATTGGAGCTCCGGACAACAATACCTTTCGAGTGATATAAAAAAAATTCCGTCAAAAATGGTTAGGTAAAAAGTCGAAATTTGTCTGAAAAAAAAACCCACTCCGAGCACAAATGTTTCGTTACTTTCGTATCGAAGGTCGGAACAAAAAAAGTTGTCAACAGAGAGCTAAAACATAGCTAGCTGAAAAAAAAAGTTGAGAGGGATTATTTTGAGCCATTCCGACTCAAGAGTTTAAAATAAAACGCTAAATCAACCTCAAGCTATTTCAAACTTCGGATTAATCGAA